GGTGGTGGTGGTGGTGGGAATGAGAAAGAACTTACGCAAGATCCGAATGAATAAGACCCACAGATGGAAACCATTGTGCACAGGTAAACCACCCAACTATTTTCCTTGCTCTGGATCTTCCTGTCATGTTCTTTATTGCCATCTTCTGTTACAGTTTTAAGCAGTGGGGCTATAATATCTGCTTCTTCTACCATATTGATGCACTCAACTCTCTCGTCCATGTTCTTGGCCTGTATGTACAAGAATAACTAAGCAGCAGTTTTACTCCAACAAAATTTATATTTGGTTACGTTGAATATATGGATTGATGAAGTATTTTATGACCCTCAAAACAAAACAAAAAAAGTATCCCAATCATATCCAATTATGTCGGTACAGAGAATTGAAAGATGTCTACTACTCACATGGATAATGGATTCATCCATCCACAATAAATGTTCTCCTTTGCTATTTTAGGCTTTAGCTGATATTTTTTGGATCATCTGATTTTTATATCTAGAGAGATTGAAATATTGCATTGCCAGTCAATTTGATGCCTTTATCTGACAGATGTTTCGGTGAATTTCTTGGACTTGCCACCAATATTCAAATGATTGGGTAGGGTCACATTTTAATCTTGGTAGGTAGGGGTGTCCATTATTCGGTCCGGACTTAAACCGACCCGAAAACTAGTCAAAATCGGACCGGACCCGTCTGGACCGGTCTCTTTCCGGTCCGGTCTTCAGTCTTTACTTTTTCCTTATTCGGTCTTTGGTGCGGTTCGTTCCACCGAGTTTCGGTCTAGACCGGTGGACCGGTAAAAATTTATTTTTTAAAATTATTTTTTCTATATAATATTATAATATAGTTTTTAAGTTTTTTCTTCTACTTAAAATTATTCTAACTTTACTACTAAAATTTATTTCAAATGTAATGTTTTTATTTTTTAACATAATTTTTTTAAAATAGTCCAATTCAAAATAAGATATAAGATGTTTTTTAATATGAAAAGTGAAAAAGTAAACAATACTTTTATATTAGCATCTAATGCATTTCAAACTTATGTACCAATATTCTAACTTAAGTTTGTACTTTATCAATAATGAAACTCTAATAAATGAAATTGAACATTGTAAAAAATCTCTCAAACAAAAATGGTACAAAAAAGTATCTCTTTATCAAAAGAAACTGAAAACACAAAAAAATAAAAATGCAATAAGACGAATACTTGCTATGTAGAACAAAAACTACAAACTATATTTCTGTAATACGGATAGAGGATATACTCCCTCCGTCTCAATTTATATTGCTGTTTTTGTTTACGATGTTTGATTGAAATCATTTTTAAGTCATTTTATATTAAAAATGGTGTAAAATTAAAAAATAAAAATTGCATATCTAAAAATTAGATGAAAAGATCTATAAAATTAGTAGTGACATGACTTTATTATTTTATCAAATGACTAACGAAAATAAAAAAAAAAGTAAAAGAAATTTGATCCTGTGAATAGTAAACACACAATTTTAATTGAGAAAGAGGGAGTATTATTTAAAGTTTGTTAAAAAATTCAAAACAATGATGTTTGACAATGTTTAGTGCATGTTACACACTAAAAATTCATTGTAGTAAAACTTTTATGCAATTGAATACTTTAAATTAAAAAAATAAATCAAGTTTGATTTTTTTAAAATCAAAATAAAAATTCACATGTATTCAGTCAATTCCGGTCCGGTTAAGTTTTTATCCGGTCAGGTCCCACTACAAGAAAACGCCAAAAGAATGACAGAATATGGTGACGGAATTCTTTCTGTTGTTAGTAGCAACGGAATTAGCGATAGATTTTGGATGCCTACCAGACTTAACGACGGAACTTTAAATTTGTCATTAAGTATGCGCGGGAACTAGGGTGCGCCCCTTATAACAACAGAAGTAGCAATGGAAGTATTTCGTCGTTAGTTTGGCGACATAAATAAACCATTGCCTAAAATCAATTTACTTAAACGCTGCGATTCTTGCTCAACGACAGGAAAATTCCGTCGCTAAATTCCGTTGCCACACGATTCAGATCTTAAAATGCAATTCATTTTCTCTAGACAGAAACATCGCAGAAGGAACTAAAACAGCGCAGAACCAACATTGTCGTCCAGCACCCCGGCGCTCGGTGCCCCCCTCGCCACCGCTCGCCATCCACCGCCTATTGGTCTCCATCTTCAAATCTCAATTTTTTTCCTAATTTTTACAATTGAAGTTGTAAACAAACTCGACTATATATTATCTTTTTATACTCGAATACAAAATTATTATTGATTGATGATATAAATAAAGAGTACATTATTATATGTAAATTATTTGACATTTTGTTCTAAGTTTAAAAGTTATTGAAATTAGGGGTTTTTTCCCCAAAGTTTTATCAATTTGTTTTAAAAACTTAATAATATTCTTGAAACTAGGGGTGGGCGTGAAATCCGTTCCCGTTGGACCGTTCCGAAAAAATCCCGGATCCGTTTTGTAATTGTACCG